TCTAACCCTGGCCCTCATCCTCTAACCCTAAGCCTCTCACCCTAACCCTGAACCTAATGCCTCTCCCTAATGGCTAAGCCTAACCCTGGCCGGAACCTCGCTTTCTAGCCCTAACCCAACAGTGCACAGCAGCACACCTGGGGCCAGGGAGCCCTCTAATTTGAGAGCGGCCTCCTTGCACCTTCTTCCAAAGCTGCTCACTTCGCTTCAAAACTGGGGTGCAGACACCCGGAGGACACATGACCCTGCCTCCACAGGCTCGGCAAGAGTCAGCTCTGAGCCTGCTCATCAGCCGCCCTGCTGCTCCGCGGGTCCCCACACACACCAGCTTCCGCCAGAGGCTCCCTCGTGCCACAGGGCAGCACCTGCCCTCATCCCAGCCCCACTGCCCTGCAGCTGCAATGTCTAGGCACAGCAGGCACAGACAGAGGCCAAGGTCTGAGGCCAGTGTTTGCCCAGCTGTCCCCTCTGCCCGCCCAGACTGCAGGTCACAGCCCCTCCCCCAGGCATCAGGGGCGCAAGCTGCAGAGCCCCAGACAAAGCACACAGCGCTGTTTGCCAACAGCTGCTGGCTTTTCTTTCTCTAACAATGCACGGCACCACCCTCTCTTCCTTCTCCTGGGCCAGGTGGCACTGTCCAATCGAGGGCCACTGAGACTGAGGTGGTGGCCCTACTGCTACCACAGAGGAGGCCTGCCCCACCAGCCTGCTCCCTGGAGCCCTGAAAATGTCCCATGAGCCAAGGACAGGGATCATTCCCTTGCGAGGGTCCCTCTCGATGCTTGGAGCCTATAACCCAGGGCACTCAGGGCAAGTTTTCACAAACTGTTTACTTTGACAGGTGAGACAGGGTCTCACTATATAGCCCAGGCTGACTCAAACCATCAGGGACGCCCCCGCCCGCCCCCCGCCCCCAGCGTGCACGTGCCTCAGCCTCCCAAGTGCTGGGACTGTGGGCATGCGCCACCATACCTGGTTTCCAGGAGCCATTTCTAATCATGATGTGCACTCCTGCGTGACAGTGAGAACCACTGTCCTGCTACCTGCCCCTTTGGAGACAGGAAAGATTCGAGCCAGCAAAAGAGGGATGTAAAGACCCTGTTTTTCCACAGGGCTCAGCTTTGGTTTGGTTTGGCTTTGTTTTTCGCAGTACTAGGATTTGAACTCAGGGTTTGCACTGAGCTATTTCTCCGGCCCCATTTTTGTATTGTGACACAGGGTTTTGCTCAAGAACGTCTACTCAGAAGGAGCCTTCTTGCACGCACTGAGGTCCAGGAGAGGCGGGCACTGTGGGCTCAGACAACCGGAAGGAAATGGCACACTCGGGCAGCACGTTCCAGAGCCCTCTGTGGAAAGAGGCAGGCTGCGGGCAGCACGGGGCAGCGGGCGGACGGCGGCTGAGGGGAGGCCAGGCCCTGTGTGCAGGGCATCTTAAACTCAGCCCTGCCCCTTGGCCATCATGCACCCTGGGGACTGCACCCCTCCCCTGCCTGCAGACTTCCGAGTCCCAACCACAAAGGTGCAACGTGAAGGCCTGACTGCCGCACCCTGAAGCAGAAGACCAAACGAGGCAAACTCTGTGGCAGCCCAAAGGCTCCCTCTCCAGTTTCAGAAAGAGGTCCAGGGAAGGGACAGGGGGCCCTCAGTCACTCACCCCATAGGGCCACACAGGGCTGTGTCCTATCCCACTCAGATCCAGGTGATCAACATCTGGGGACATGGGCAGCACCATAATGCAGGACATAAATGGGAGCTGCACATTGTCAATTCAAATTTTCTAGTACCCACATTTTTAAAACAGTAAAAAGCTCCAGGCATGGTGTGACACACCTATAGTGCAGCATTCGGGGAGCCTGAGGCAGAGGGGTCACAAGTGCAGGCCCAGTCTGAGCAACGTGTCGAATTGTAAGAACTTGTGTCCAAAAAAAAGTCTGGGGATATAATGTAGCTCAGTGTGAAGGTCCTGGGTTCAAGTCCCAGCACCAAAAATACGCAAAAAGAATAGGGAAAAAGATTGAGTGAAAATAATCATAATAATATTCAACTAAACCAAATACATCTGCAATGGTATCGTGACAAGATATAATCAAAGCCAAGAAATGTCGCTGAGAGACTTTTCATCTGTTTTTTTGTCCAGCGGCCCCATGAGGCCAGCAGCTGCTGCATGCAACATAGAGGTGGAGGCCAGGGACAGACCTGCGGGAACAAGTGGCTGAAATGAAGGGAAAGACAGTGCTGGGCACCGGCCCCCGCGGCCACCACCGTCACTGTACTGTGGGCACAGCGGTGGCCACATCCATGCCTGGGCACACAGAGGCTGCCTGGCCGCAGCCTGGTATCAAGGCTCAGAGCCGCTGTTCCCTCATCTAGTAGGGCCAGAGTCGCATCTACTGTCCCTCCTGGGCAGGGCTACTGCAAGAGGAGACCTCAGAGGCAACACGTACAAACAAAGCGCTTCTCCTGGGGAAGGTGACAGCACAGACTGGGACTCCTGGCCCCCAGCCTGCCACTTACTGCAGGCCGTCCCTGCCTTGGTTCTGGCCATCCCACTTCTAGGAGCTTAACCCAAGGAAATAGCGAGAGGTGCCCGGCCCAGCTCTGCACTACAGCGCCAACACGACATGCCCAAATGCTCATGCCCTGGGATGGCTAAGCTGGGCTGTCAGCCTGATCGGCTTCAGCACCACCCAGGGGATTAGTAAAGCACATTGCCCCTGGGACACAGAGGGGTGACTTGGGGTCTGTAGGGGCCCCAGTCCCTGCTCTCTGGCGCTGTCCCTGCTCTGCTGCAGCGTTCTCCATGCTGCCCCTGCCTTGGCACCAGCCCACGTAGGCTGAGCCCTCTGAACCCATGAGCCCTGCTGGACCTCCCTGCCAGTTGCAGGCATCAAGTGTCATGTCCCGTAATGGGAACCCCGGGTAGGTGAGCCCCTCTGTGACTGTGGAAACAGAGCCCCGAAGGGGTGATCCCAGTTAAATCACATCAGAAGAGTCGGGCCCAGGCATCTGTGTATCCAGTAGGGGTGCATTTCTATAAGAAAAGCAAGGCACTGGAGAGCTCTCTCTTCTCACCGTGTGTGGACGTAGTGAGAGGGCGACGCTGAGCAAACCGAGAAGAAAGCCCTCAGCCAACATCAGCCGAGCTGGCCCCGGGCCTTTGGACCCTCAGTTAGTCTTCCAAGGAGAGCCACCTGGGTCTCCTCTCTTCCTCTGAGAGCACTAAGCTCACTGTGGGCCCCACCCCTGTGAGCCATCTGGCCCCACTACCTCCCCAGACCCCCTAGCACCATGCACTGGGAGACAGCTTCCACGGTGACGCCCTGGGGCCACAGCATTCCGTCCACCACCGCAGCAGCGCGTGAGCTTTAGATGCGACTGCACCTAACACGTTTCATTACAGGGGGAAAAACTTTTTTCTTCTTTTTTGAAGTACTGGAAATGGAGCCCCAGGCCTTAGCTGGAGGTGCATCCTCAACTCTGTCTATTATTTTTATTTTGAGATCTCCCTCAATTGCCCAGACTGGCCTCAAACTTCCGGCCCTCCTTCCTCAGCCCTGCAGAGTATGGGGATTGCTGTCGAGCACCACCTCACACCACCTGACAGTACAGTTTCTAGGGAATAGTTTCTTGAGTAGCCGAAACAGCACCATAGCCTGAGACAAGAGCAGCCAGCAGCCTCCTGCGGCGGCAAGGCGAGGTGGCCTGGAGGTGGGGAGGAAGAGCCGCTGCGCCCCTGCTCCCTGAGCCAGACATGCCCAGGAGAGCTGAGCCTTTCTTGTGCTCTGGCACTTGGGACTGGGCTCCCAGCCTGCTGGGGCTTCTCAGCCTCTCAAGGCAGGCAAGAATAGCCAGGCCCTGCAGCCTCTGTGCTGATGACAGTGTGGTAGTCTTTTTCCTGCTCTGGGAAACAGTTGAATCCTCTCCCATGGTGCTGGGGTCCTGACTGTGTGCCCGCCCCCACCCCTCGGAGGGATCAGCATGAGTACACGCTCTACCCCTCCCCTCCTCTCCCCAGCAAAGGCAGGGCTTCTGGACAAGGCTAGGGTTCAAGGCCACTGAGTGTCCCCTGGCAGATAAGGAGCAGCAGCTCCAGCCACAGCCCCTGTCCACAACTGGGGCCAGAAGATGCCCAGCATGCTGACGTGAAGCCCGCTTGGCAAGAGGTTGGTGGAACCTGCTTCCGGTCTCACAGCTTACTGGAACCGTCACCCAGTCAGTGGCCACATGGCAATCAGCCTTCAAACGTCATCTGTCAGCCTGAGCAGCAAGAAGGGACTTTCCCGATCCTCAAGGAGCGATGATGACGTGAGCAAGGATATTCCTCTAAAGCAAATCCTGACCCTCATCTCTCGATCCAGTCTAGGCTGGCCCAGGAAGGGGCAGAGGCAGCGGCCTCTCTCCCGGAGGGCAGGAAAACTCAGCTTCCAGGACGGGGGCGCTGTCTCGGTGTCGACCACTGAGCAAAACCCCGGCCCGGGGCCTGTGTGTAACTCAACGCACAAAGCACGGCCCCCAGGTTTTACCTTTCCAGTGTTTTAAAAGACTGGATAATATCCTTTGCGTGGCCCCACAGAAAGTACACCTGGGTGGAAATAAAAGAAGAGAAAACACATCAGTGAGGAAACTGTTATCATGTTGCCCAGAGCCACATAGAATAGTTCATGATTCTTAAGGGAACACCTGAAATAGAGAATTCTGCGCCTTCCGTCTCCAGCCTCCTTAGCTAAGGCGCATCCTTGGATCACCTTATCCTCACGCAACACAAGGAGTCAGTAAGAACAATAATAAACGCTGGTTCCCCCTAATGGGCTTACATGCACTATTTTCTTTTCCAATATTTTTTCTAAGGTTATGCTCATCTTTAAAAACAAAACAAAACAAAACAGCATTGGTGAGAGGGAAGGAAGGGAAAGAAAAAGAAACCAGCCGTATGTGGACATGAAGCTGCTCCCCAAGAAGACAAAAGCTGTGCGCATTGCAGACGTAGACTGATCAAATAACCCAAAAGGAAAAGCAGAGCTCGGCGGGGGGCGCAGCCTGGCCTCAGGCTCCCAGGTACTCGGGAGCACACACGAGCCGGCTGCACTACTTTATTCTTTTCCGTGGTCCGGCAAATTGTTTTCTCAACTGTGCCTCTGAGCTGCTTACTACCAGGGTACAGAGAGAAAGCTGATTAGTGAACCCTGAAGTCTTTAAAAAACTTACCCTTGGTTGCGCGATCCCACTTCTGCATCTACATCCAAATGAATGCACGCACAGTCTCAAAGAGATGC